CGAAAAAACGATGAAATTGTAACAAAAAATATTGAGATAAGGGACGAAGCGTCACTCGAAATAAAATTATTTATAAAATTTTCTGACATTTCTATTTATTTTCTGCAAACTATTTATGGGAGAGAAAACTTAACTTTAAGTTACAAACGACGTATGGGGTATTCTTCTAGGAATATATTGTCTTCTAATAATAGGATTTAGTTTATGTTTTCAGGTACATAGGCAGAGGGGTGCAATTTATATTGCTCTACATTTAAGACAACGAGACTTGAGTATTGATCCACTGATTTTATCCACTGAACAAGTAAGTTAACTGCTATATCTACACGCATTTCAGTCATACTGCGGAAATCTGATTTTATAAAAATTTAACTTTAACGAAATATAAGAAATAATAATAAGTGATGTGAAAATAATTTGCAAATCATTAGAGGAACTTAGCTTCGGAGACTTGTACGTTACAATTACGCAGTATTTTCTGTATAATAAACCTAGTCGGCAGTACATCGATAAATACTGCATACGAATAGTTTTACTATCCGGTTTATTAGCGACTACAATGACAAGCAGCTTTTTGGGAACAAGACGTGGATAACTTCCCCACAAGGTATGTTTGTTGTTATGCGTAAAACTACACAACGGGCTATTTGTCCTCTTTCTATCTCGGATATCGGAGCCCTATTTTTTCTTTTTTTTTTAGCATTATAAGCCCTCAGATTTACCACCGAGCCATCGGGAGTGGGACCCAACAGGGTATTACAAGGAATATTAAAAGCTAATTTGAGTTTTCGCCTCCTGGAAAATTGCAATCGTTTAAGCCTTCAAAAAATCATGCCCGTGCCTGTTTTAAATTATTACTTTAAACACTTTTAGGTAAATATATCCATTGAGAAAATAATATAACATGATCGAGAATCAACCTACAAACCTTCTACTTATGTTGTTGAAATGCAATTAATTAAATAACTTTTAATTGTATTTCAACTCTTCTGCCCCCCAGTGGCACAGCGGTATGTCTGCGGGCGTATACCGCTAGAAACTGGGTTTCGATACCCGTGGTGGGCAGAGCACAGACAGCCCTTTGTGTAGCTTTGTGCTTAACTACAAACCAAACAATTTCATCACTTCTCATTTACAAGCGATGAATTTTAATCGAATTTATAAATAATATTTTTTTTCATGCAACCATTTTGTCTGAATTATTTTAGGACCCTATTAAGCCCACTTGAAGTTAGTTTTATGTTTTGTAATTCTGTTTGTGCTTCCTTATCATCTTTGTAGCTTGTTAAGTTTCAAGTTATTGTTGTTGTTTTTAGCGCAAAGATATATAATGAGATATCTATGCTTTGTCTATCACGGGGAATCGAACCCTAGATTTTATCTTTGTAGGCCCGTAAACTAAGTTACTAGATACTAAGTTTCAAATGGAAATTGTAGTACGGAATGAGAGTTATGGGCATTCGGTATCTGTATTTTCCAAGAGCTTAGGGATAATTTCGTTGTATTGTTAGGATCGCGGGGGAAGCGCAAGATTGAAAATTTAGAGGAGTGTTGGAGATATTTGTCACTTTGTTGTTAGCCTCTTGCGATGGAGATAATCGACGTCTCGATTGTAAGTTATTCATTGAAAGGTATTTGTAAACACAAACCTCTACACGAATAAGATAGAGAAGCGGGAAAAAATTATCCTTTCCTACTATCCGGCATTCGATAAGATCCTTCTTACAATCAGACATTCATTAACACTGACCGTGGTCGACAGAAGACAGAATACGACCACCGTTTTCTGATCATAACCACTATCTAAACGAAAATTCAATGAAACAACTCACTGCAATAATAGTATCTAGAAATGACAATCAGGTGAAGTGAGTTTTATCGGCAGAAAATGTTTTCAAATTGCGCATCAAAATGTCTACAAAAACGTGATAATTTACGTGATTTACATATTTCAGTAAAATAACTACTAAGTGTTAAAGTTTGGTGGTCGCGATACTGTTGTGTGCTATTGTTTTATAATGTTATAGAAATACCTTTTTGTAATTTTATACACGGTATCAAACTGTCTCTCCAGTACTAAACTACATGGGAAAGTGTCTCTCCAGTACTAAACTACATGGGAAGATGTCTCTCCAGTACTCAACTACATGGGAAGGTGAATTGTCACTTCATTCTTGTTGAGAAATTATTTTTTTAAAAATCAGATGATTTTTGAATATGCAAAACTTTAGCGAGTCATAAAAATGATATAATAATTATAGACCTAATTTCAATAAAGGCCAGAAATATTATTTTGAATAGAATTGTATGAATACTAATGTGCTTTTATTTTTCTTCTTGGATTTGTTTGTTTGTTTGTTTGTAATTAAGCACAAAGCTACACAACGGGCCATCTGTGCTCTGCCCACCACGGGTATCGAAACCCAGATTCTAACGTTGTAAGTCCGCAGACATACCGCTGTGCCACTGTGGGGCTTTAATCTTGGAGTTGCTGCTAAAATCTTGTTACAAGTGCTCAAATGATTATCAAGATTTATACCAAATGTAAATACTGTAAACAAGTAAAGAAAACAACTTTTCAAAAAAGGAAGTAAATGTAGGGATGGCTAATATCAGTTCTTCGAAAACAATGCAAACAAGATAGTAGGGATGGAATTTGTATCATCCCTACATAATAAAATAGGCAAACAGTGTAGTAGAATGTAGTAACATATATATTGTTATATGTTAATTCTTGTCTGTGCTATTATGTAGGGATTATGCAAATGCCATCCCGACTATCTTGTTTGCATTGTTTTTGGAGAATTTATATTAACCATCCCTACATTTACTTCCTTTTTTGAAAAGTCTTTTTTCTTTACTTGTTTGCTTGTTGTTGTTTTGTAATGCAGTGTTTCAATATATATATAGGAAGGTTGTATTTATAACCAAGTTCTAAGTACAATGAGGTTACACTGTAATATTTATTGTTTATATATATTTAACTGGTATTTCCTGTTTCACCTTGAACTTAAGCTTTTTAACAAAACACCAAATTTCTGTGAAAAAGCTAACTTCAAGGGATAATGATAACATCGTTTACGCTTGAATTGTGTTATTTTATCAATTACTACTAGTTAATAATACTTATAAAAGTGGATACTCCGTTTGAAACTATGTCACCTCAGCGAAATTGGTTGACACAATTGTTTTGGTTTTTTAGTTATCGTGTAATAAAAAAAAAGCAGAAGAAAGAAGAACAAGAAATTCAAACATTTTTCTATGATATTTACAGACATTCCCAAAACTTATGACTTAATCATTACATAGATATTCTTGTAAAAGGAAACACTGTATAGTATTGTAAAGTCCTAATGACCCGTTGAGGAGATGTTTGAAATACCATTTTGATGAACAATCCAAGCCATTTCTCTTTTCTCATCTAATTATACAAAATGGAATAAATCGTCGTAATTCAGAACTCACTAAGTGACGTTATTGTTGAAGTTATAGTTCATTAATTCAGAACTCACTAAGTGACGTTATTGTTGAAGTTACAGTTCATTAATTTACCTTAATTCATGTATGAAAGGAACTGTGTATGTTTGCACACAGGTCCTGTAAGATTTCATAAACTTGAAACTGCTTGAAACTACAAACAGCTACTTATTATTCTGAAGTCACAATGTGTTGATTTTTTGATCAGGTTAGTTTGGCAATTTCCTTTTAATAATTTTAAGTGGCTTTAATCTGAGATTTGTCATAACTGACTATGTTGGTTGCATCGCTTGAAATCTAAATTAAGTGATAGTTGAATCAACAGCATATTACAGTGCCCGGTTTACCTCAATGCTGTAAAGTCGACATTAGGGGGATCATGTGGAAGTAAAGGAGTGCTTTTTGCATCTTACGCAAAGCATATGGCGAAAAATCCAAGAGCCATGCCTTTCAAACCTGTATAAAAACGATTCTGTATTCAAGCGATTCTGCACGAATATCAATGGGTTAGCTTTTCTCCCGGACGGTGACGCTTGTTCGTGAAGGACTAGACTTGCTAAAATACTTCAACAGTATATGTGTTTCTGTCATCTTTAGACGAAAGGGAAGAGACGCTGCCATTGTAAGAATTCAATGGAGGATCATTCCGCTACGGTTTATACCAAGAATATGGGCCCCCCAGTGGCACAGCGGTATATCTTCGGACTTACAACGCTAGAAACCGGGTTTCGATACCCGTGTTGGGCAGAGCACAAATAGCTCTTTGTGTAGCTTTGTGTTTAACTTTAAACAAACAAAGAATATATAATGTACACTAGGTTATGCTGAAGAAAACACTTTGACCTGTACGAGAAGTAGAACACAAAGTTTTTTCACCTTATTTGCAGAAACACCCAACATTATACGAGTTATTTAAAGCTTCCAGATGTAGGAGGGAGATGTGACGGCAATTTTTCTCCAAAATGACGTAAGACAAGTTCCAAGGAGAAGAAATACACCTTAAATGTGCCATGATATGTAGATTTGTTTATAGAACGTGTGTGTGTGGATTTCTTAACTGAAATCAGTAGTTTTTAACAGGTGTAGCTCACAATATCCGATTTTGTCGGATGGATTGAACAGTTTTTATTTGTTTTATCTCTTACCTTTTCCAGTTAAAGAATAATTTAAAATGATCTTTGACCACTGAGTATGGCCGTGTCTGAATTCTTAAATAATTATGTGATACACGCATTTATAAACATAATGGTCGCAACATAGCAATATTTTTGAAAATCAAGTCAGTAAATAATTAGTTTGTACTGGTACAAATATTTATAAGGATTCGCACACGAACTGAAGCTGTACATTTAAAACTTGTCCAGTAAATCTTTGGGCACTGCAGGATTCTCTAGGTAAATCCTATATTCGTTTGCTGGTTCAACGAAGGATTTTGATACAAGTTTTATGGCAAGAAACAGAAACATGTTGACTATCATCAAATGATAAACGTGCATTTTCATCTGCCCGAAACATGTAATGTCAAATTATTTATGTTTATTGACATGCGTAATCCCTGTATTAAAATCCTTCATTGTACCAAAAACGATGCATGCTAATTTAATTTTATACTTCCCATATATTTAAACTCTATGCTAGCTAGATTGCTAAACTAGGATGAGGATGTCAGTCAAGTAAGTTTCATTACTATAGGTTTCAGTGATACAATTTTGCGCCAGGAAATTTATATTTTGCAGAACTTGATTGTAGTTTTAGTTTCACGATGACAAATTTTGCTCCAAGAGTTTTTTTAAACACTTTTGAAACATACTTAATTTAATCAGTGGTAAAAATATATAAAACTTACTAAATCACGCGAATAACGTGAACGGAAACAGCTTAAACTTATCAAAGTTTGGAAGCACCAGATTCTCTCCTCTTACTCGAATCACTGCATTCGTGATTTTTAATTGGATATGTGAACTTAACTAACAAAATATTTTTCCAACATTGAAGAACATGATTACCGGGACTTATTTTACCTCTAAAGCGGACCTTTTTAACCTAAGATACTGTGTCTATTTAACACTGGTTGTAATTAGGAAATTTTCTTTCTCAACCTCATGTATAGCAACAAGTATTGTTAGTTTTAAAACATTAGTGTGAAAAAAAGATGCTGCGTCAGTTTTATTTCATTAAAACGCTCCATTTATTTCAAGTTTTACAGTTCAAGAACGTCGTGTCACATAACACCGATCTCTCTTAAATTTGAAAAAAAAAATATCCTGCACATCAATATTGGCCAAAAGTCTGAAATATTGTTAACGACATGTTTTTTTCAGACATCTGTTTATGATTTCTTTGAATGTCGGGATTTCATGGATTTCATGAAGATTGTGGGTGGAGATTGTTTATACTCGGAAGGTGATCCAATGGTCTGGTAAAATTTTCAAGTATTTCAAGCTCGATTTTAAAAGACAAACTTAGATATTTTCAAGCATTTATGCAAATCGTGATAAACGTATAGAGCACAAAGCGATATTAGGAAATTCTTAACCAGATCTTACATTCTGAAATTTCTGACACTTACAAAAACCTAATCTTGAAAGACTAATCAACTCAGCGGGAGAATCCTCACTACCTAATAATTTGGGTATATATAAATACCTAAACCCAACGCGTACACGCGATGTTGAGGCACATAAAACGCTCTCACCGTTCACAAAAAATCATTACCATTAATCATACACGCTGACCGTTAGTTAGGTTTGTTTGTTTGTAATTAAGCACAAAGCTGCACAATGGGCTATCTGTGCTCTGCCCACCACGGGTATCGAAACCCGGTTTCTAGCGTTGTAAGTCCGCAGACATACCGCTATGGAACGTTAGTTAGAACAAAATACAATTCACTTTGTACTTAGTCATTAATACGTTTAATTTAATTCATACTTGGCTTAAGTTTTGCTTCACTTTGTTTAAACAAAAGTATTTGGGTATAGTTAACAGCACACACAATATATATATAAGAAAACTTTAATGGCACTTAAGTGATGGTAAATAAAGTATTATATTCTTTAAAAAATATCTAACACAAAACTGGGTAATATATCATGATTAGTGGAGTAAAAGCTATTGATTAGTGGAGTATCAAAGTAAAAGTTATTCGTTTCCTCACCAGACATCTCTCTCTAAGTGATCCAACAATCTTGACTCTCTCAAGCATGAAATAGCCATCCTCCAGTGGTGGGTTTCCAGAACAGAGAAATTCTATTGTAATACGAAATGTTTACTGTACCATATTAAATTTAAATATACACACGTGTGTTATATGTATATATATATATATATATAACACACGTGTGTTATATGTATATATATTTAACATATTTTCCATTTTATCTAGAACAGAATAAAACCATATACCATAATAACAGTTCATATTTCTACTTGTATAATACATACAATGGTTAGGATCTGAATTCCCAATAATAACAACGCATTTCCCAATAATAACAACACATTTTTATTCAGTATGGGAAGTAATTTAAAGTTTCAACTCTGCTCTCAAGATAAACGAAACTTAGCGCTAATTTCTCGTACATATATGTAATTAAATCAGTAATATGATGAAGACAAATAGCACTAACATAAGCGTAAGTATTATCCTGTATCAGAATGATTTTACTAAACGTGAAAACATACACGCATATATATACAGAGGTTGGGCACATTACAGTAAAACGATTTTAGGGTTTCACCATGTCATTACAGTCCATATTGCCACGACCGGTCATGCTATATGTAATGATCATGCTTCTTGACAATAGCCCCGCATCGTAGTTTCGATTGCGAAAACTTCGTCGCAAGGCTGTCATGTTTAAAACAACACGCCACTCTTCCCTCCGTGCTTTCCATAATCCATCTAGTTTACGAAAACGACGGTTCTCAGGGCCTGTTTCAACAGCATGAGCGCACATAAATCCATAGACTGGCATGTCTTTACGAAATAGCATAAATATTTGTTTCTTTCTCTAGCTTGAAAGAATATATCGAAGAAGCAGCTTGTGTGTACGCGAATTATATTGCTTTTCTAGACGGAAATCCTTCTTGATTATGTTTTCTACTGTTGCCTGGGCCTCGTGGACGGATTTTGCCACGGATCTCTGTGTTTGTAGAGTCTCAACTGTTACAAGAGGCCGCACTTTGCTTTTTTAGTTGAGATACGACTCTTTCTGAATGGTCCTGATGTCACAAACCTATCCATATTTTTTCGTTTTCCAATGCCATTACGAAACTCTACATCCCTCGATATGAGTGTAGGAATATTTTGCGTCGGAAAGGGCTGTTACATCTCTTCCCAAAAGTGATAAATATTCCGCAACATCTCACTAAATACTGTCAAAATGAAAAACTGCAATGATAACTGTAAGATTACAGATAGATTAAAGGAGTTAATTGCACTTTAACACTGTTCAATGTCACTAGATGACTCTGTGAGTAACATAAATGGTATACTTTAACCTTAATCTTATACGCTGCTATCAAGCATCTTATACTGATAAGTATACAATAAGTTAATACGATACTGGTAAGTAACTTGACGACTAAGTAAGAAGGAATGTTGACATTGATAATCACAAATTTATGTTATGGCAATAGATAGCGATATGAGTAACACCAAAGTTTGTTCGTTCGTTTGTTTTTGAATTTCGCGCAAAGCTACTCGAGGGCTAGCCATCCCTAATTGGTATACCAGAGAGAAAGGAGCTAGTCAAAATCATCCACCATGCCAGGTTCCAGGTAACACAAAGTAATGAATCCTTACTCTAAGAATATAGCACTAGGTGGCTTGGTTTAATTCCAATTCATAAAATGCTACTAGGTGGCTTGATGAGTTCATGAAAGTTAGACTTATGTAGAATTGTTAGGTAGATTAACGAGTAAAATAAAACGAAAATTATTTAACCAAACTTAGCATTTTATGACTCGATGAATAATATTGGATATTATGTTAACCTCATTCCTTCAGGTAACTTAATGCGTAAAATTAAGAGCCGTTCGTCAAACCTAACTTTATGGATTATGGCTAGGTGTGCAACATAAAGACGATTATTCTAACCATTAATTTACAAAACGTCGTTTCTTGGTTCATCTATAATAACCCATACCTATACCTCAAATTAGTCAAGGGTCACTTGTTGTCATATTCTAACCATTAATTTACAAAACGTCGTTTCTTGGTTCATCTATAATAACCCATACCTATACCTCAAACTAGTCAAGGGTCACTTGTTGTCATATTCTAACCATTAATTTACAAAACGTCGTTTCTTGGTTCATCTATAATAACCCATACCTATACCTCAAATTAGTCAAGGGTCACCTGTTGTCATATTTTAACCATTAATTTATGAAACGTTGTTTATTGATGCATTTATAATAACCAATACCTCAAATTAGTCAAGAGTCACTCAATCTGTTAATATGTTTTAACAGATATTAAAAACATTACTGAAAATATATAACCTAATATTCCAAGTTGAAACACATTCATTAAGTACAAAGATAAATAAGAGAGAATCTGTAGTGTGCCAAATGCAGGGATTGAGCGCTGAATTTGAGAGTCTTAAGCATTCGCGCTTACCACTAAGCTACCGGGGGACTTGTTTTACTTGACAATTTTCACTCCACTAAAAGCATTGCTTGCTTTCTTTTGATAACTATTCAAATTTCTTGTGTAATTTTTCTTTCTTCAAACGAAATACACAAGACAGTGCCTACAATCTTCTTGACTTCAAATAACCCTGATGGACAGTGTTGTTCAGCCAAGTGTTATTGCTTCTTTTCTGAGAGATTAGTGTTGATTCTGATGAACTCTTCTGTTCAGCCAAGTGTTATAGCTTCTGTTCAGAGAGATTAGTGTTAATTCTGATCAACCCTGCTGCTCAGCCACGTGTTATAGCTTCTGTTCAGAAAGATTAATGTTAATTCTGATCAACTCTGCTGTTCAGTCAAGTATTATAGCTTCTGTTCAGAGAGATTAATGTTAATTCTGATCAACTCTGCTGTTCAGTCAAGTATTATAGCTTCTGTTCAAAGAGATTAGTGTTGCATCTAATAAACTATGCTGTTCAGCGAGGCTAGATACGTAAGTAATTCGAGGTACTCAGAGGTCAGTGGCCTTGATTTATTGACCAGTTACAGTTCAATTTTCATCTCCGAAGTACAGTATTTAAAAGGTTATACAAACACGAACCTCATATTATACTCTTTGATATAGATGTGTCCATGTCATGTCTGTGGGCTTGCGGATCTAGTGAGTTAATCAGTTTATATTAGACTTTTCGCGCAAAACTACATAAAGACTATCTGCTCAACCGTTACTAATTATGAGCTGGTAGACAAGAGGGGAAGTATTTGGTTAATAGCATTCACTAGAAGCTCTTGGGCTATTCTTGTTTGACCGAATAGTCAGATTTGAAGGTCACTTTATATGTTAACTTAACCGTAACCCAAAAGTGCGGAGCGCGTTTTTTCAACAAGGGGACGCGAAGCTTGAACCTTCTGATTCACAGTTCGAACATGTTAGCCCTTAGGCTACGCTGAACTGTATGTATTTAGTAAAAATAAGCATCTATTTTGTTTATAAAATGAAGGTATAATTCTGACAACATAGAGTTAGTAGTTGTATATTCATAATTCTGTAAATACTTTTATTGTTAAATACCCCAGTATGTGCAATGAAATATATTTTCAGGTTTGTTTTTAATGCTTTCTTACATATGTCTGAGCATAAATGTTCAGTTTTAAATAAGAACAACTTAAGTGGAAAAATGTTGGGGAATAGTATTCTAGACTAAGTAAAGCTAACTGGGATGTTATATATGGCAGTATATTGATATCTTTCAGAACTCTATTTGCTAATTATGATTCAGGTTTAACATTCGGAGAAAAGTGAAAAGTTGGCGCCTATATCGTTAGATAGTACGAAAAATAACATTGACGTATAAGTTCACCGTAACATTACACATCGACACGAGGTGGCTCAGTAGTAACAAAGAAAGTGTGTACAAAGGGGAGTTCAGTAACTAATGCCTCAAGTGTATATTTACTAATCCTAGTGTTATTTAATACAGCCAGGTGATTAGCTGAATATAGGATAAAAGTACATATGTATATATTATTTTATCTTATATATTGATATTTGGTGGCGCTGTGATGGAATGTTAACATTACGTAAGAAACTGTTGCTAGATAACTCCCTAAATAACATGAAAAGACTACATGTGAATCCTAACCTCATACAACACAGCTAGATGGTTGGAAGTAGCGATTAAGAAAGGTTGAGTAAAACCTGGATGATCAAGGTCATGACAAACTGCGGCAATGAGAGAGGCCATAATTTCCACGGGAGTCACATGCCTTGAAATCTGTAATAAATGATAAGATTTGAAAGCATTAACATATAAAGTCATTATGTACTTCTTTAAGTATAAAAGAAACTTATTGGATTGATGCATTTATTACGTGTATCTTCAACTTCAATACTGAAATAAATTAAATGTTTTATCCTGTATAAGCTTAAACTGAGAGTTTGTCTTTCGTCTTTTATTATGAATGAAAACAAAAACTTATTAATTTAGAAGGAGACGGGTTTGTTTGGAGTTAACCACAAAGCTACACAAAAGGCTAGCTAGGCTCTGCCCACCACGGATATCGAAACCCGGTTTCTAGCGTTGTAAGTCCGCATAGATAACGCTGTGCCACTGGGGTAGGGGGAGGGAAGGTTCGGATTAAGAAATCAGTTTAAAGAATATCAAAACCTACATTCTGAACTGAATATGGATAGTTAAGATATCTGAAGTTTTTTAAACTCAATGTAAAGAAGACTGAGATTTTCTACAGCAGTGAAATCGTAAGTAGTTAGCACCAAAGGATCTTGTGAACTGTCATTTAAAGTAAACATTCCGCGGAACTGTTTGTAGGGCCTATTTTGATTCAAACAATGTAAAAACTACACAACACATTCTTAACCGATTGATGCACATCTATCTCAATATATTTACATGGAAGCCTAACCAATCATTAGGTTATGAAAATAACTACGTTAACGTTTTGTTTTTGAAATTCTTGTGGTAAGTGCTACAAACTAAGATATTTTCGGCTTTCAAACTCACAATTAAAGTCCAACACACTAGCTGATGCAGCTAAAGTCCAACACACTAGCTGATGCAGCTAAAGTCCAACACATTAACTAATGCAGTTAAAGTCCAACATACTAGCTGATGCAGCGAAAGTCTAACACACTAGCTGATGCAGGTAAAGTCTAACACACTAGCTGATGCAGGTAAAGTCTAACACACTAGCTGATGCAGGTAAAGTCCAACATACTAGCTGATGCAGTTAAAGTCCAACATACTAGCTGATGCAGCTAAAGTCTAACGTACTAACTTGTGTAGTCAAAGTTCAAAATACTAATTGATGTAGTTAATGTTCAACACACTTACTGATGCAGTTAAAATCCAACATGCTAACTTGTGTAGTCAAAGTTTAAACTACTAGCTGATGTAGCTGAAGTCCAACACACTAACTGATGCAGCTAAAGTCCAACACACTATTTGATGTATCTAGAGTCCAACACACTAACTGATACAGCTAAAGTCCAACAAAATATTTGATGTATCTAAAGTCCAACACACTAACTGATGCAGCTAAAGTCCAACTCACTATTTGATGTATCTAAAGTCCAACACACTAACTGATTTAGCTAAAGTCCAACATACTTCAACATTAAGAGGTATCCAATTTTTCAGTGTTATTTTGTGGAGTATGGAGCATCCCAGTGCTCAAAATTCTCTTCACTATATTTTGTCGATTTTCCTAATTATTGGTACTTAGTTATGTTGTAATCTATATTTGCCTCACCAGTCTTATCTATTCTTTACACACATCTTTCTTATATGTATAATAGGAATATACTTTTACAAGAGTATATTCATGTTATATACTGGCCAGCACTGTTATTTGGCGCAGAGACTTGGTCAGTGAAAGAGTGTTACCTGAAAAGATTGGAAGAGGCAAAATCGAGGTGGTTGAGATGCATTAAAGGTGTGACTTGGAGAGATCACAAGCCAAGTGTAGAAACTAGGCAGGAGGTGAACGTTTGTAGCTTCAGAGAGAAGGTGCAGGAATTGAGATTGAGTTGGTTTAGGTACATGTAAAGAATGGGAGAGGATAGTTTGGTGAAATGGGCAGCAGAGGAAAAGATGAAAGTATTGTATTGGAGAACAGTAGTCATGTAGACCTCGGTGTAGTGATTGTTTGTTTGTTTGTAATTAAGCACAAAGCTACACAATGGGCTATCTGTGCTCTGCCCACCACTGGTATCGAAACCCGGTTTTTAGCGTTGTAAGTCCGCAGACATATCGCTGTGCCACTGGGGGGCCATTGTGATGAACGCTCCATCTAAATGGAGAAAGATCACGAGACGTTCCGACCCACGTGAAGGTATTAAGGGGTAGGGTTTGTAGTGAATTTCGCCCAAAGTTATACGAGGGTTATCTGCGTTAGCAGTCCCTAATTTAGCGGTGAGTGACTGGAAGGAAGGCAGATAGTCAATACCACCCACCGACAACTCTCGGAATACTCTTTTACTAGCGAATAGTTGGATTGACCTCACATTATAACGCCCTCACGACTAAAAGGGCGAGCATGTTCGATGAAGGGGATTCGAACCCGCGACCCTCATATTGTGAGTCGAACGCCCTAATCACCAGGACATGCCAAGCTGGGAATAAGAGGAGGAGAAGAAAAAAGATTCATGTTATATATATATATATATGGTGAGGCAAAAGTGACTACGCAGTCTCATGCTGAAACAAACAACTAAATTAGTTCCAATAATATCAACTGTACAGTAAGTAACTTTTTCTTCATTCTGTATATGATCTATTCAGACGTTTTTCGTTTTATATTAGAAACGATATAAAATCTGAACATGCTTGGTCACAGTAATAAACGTTATAACAGTAAATTTTCTTAGTTATAATTATGTTACATACGTTGTCTGGAAGACATGCCAATTTTGTTTCATAATTATAAAAAATTATAGTTTTCCATATCCTCAAAGTTTACACTAATAGGGATTCATATTTCGGATTCTCAAATCACAATGGAATAAGACAAAGTGGTTATCTTTTGTTACCTTAGCCTGAACTAATACTAAGCACAATAAAAATGTTACCCCAGGATACTTTCATCTGTAATTCCGTCTGACGTGAACAATTTAAATTTATCATTCCATATTTTCATGTTCTATATAGCTACATATCTGTAGCTTAAAGATTTTTCATCTTATAATTATACTAATTTACAGTGATTTTTCTTTGTTTTTTTTTGTTAAGCACAAAGCTACACAATGGGCTATCTGTGCTCTGCCCACTACAGGTATCGAAACCCGATTTTTTGCATTATAAGACTTCAGACTTACCATTGAGGAGAAAAACGTCGTGTAATTTGTGTCATATAACTTTATAGGTTTCGGTAACAATAGTAGTAGATGATAAAGATAATATCAGCAAGAAAACACATTAAAAAGTTATTAGTTAAGATACATTTGAAACTACATGAGATAACAAAATTTCTTTCAAAGACATTTTGTAGTTTGCAGACCGTTTGTTTGTGTCCATCGTGGGGGATTGAACCCCTAGATTTTACCATTGTAAATCCATAACGTGAGCGATCTTGTAAGTTCTCGTCAAGGTTGTAATGAAATAATGAATAAGTTATAGAATATATATATATACAAGAAACGTAAACGTATTATAATTAACGAAACAATTTGAAGTTATACAGAAAAGCCTTGATTACTGATCATAATGTATAATTAAGGGTGATACAAATCGAAAATTTTCTTTTTTGACTAAATCCACTTTTGATCGTGTTCTTAAAACTACGAATTAAAGAACTTTATAAATACCAAAATAATACTTTTTCAGTTATTTTGCAACCTAGAATCTAAATTAATTATTCTACATGTTGTGTGTATCTTAAAACTAAATTAATTAGATTTTCCAGAATATGATTTTACAAACTTAAAATAACGATCTTGCATCCTTTCCTCTGTTTTCTTCGTTATTTTTATGTTTGATTTTTACTTGTAAAAAGAGTCGTTGTTAATATCTTTAGCAACATTTTCATCAGTTTATCGCTTTGAACTCTTTAATATGTCATTACGTGTACATGTTCCAGTTCAATGGAACGAATATCATTTAAATAGATGACAGTAGCGTGTGTGCTACGTTTCCTTGTTGTGGCCTTTGTTTTGTTTTTTAGTGTATTACTTTAAGAGTCTATGTGGCATTAAATCTTTGTACATACATACTTACTGTAAGAGATCGATTAGCATTGCTAGAGTGCTATTTTTGTTTTCAATTCGACGTTGATTGCATAAAATGTATTACAAGCTCGTTTTGCAAAAAGAAGTTAAACAATATTCCCTGTATTATGTAATTACCTTCCTAAGATTACAATTAGAAAATATTCTTAAATTTCATTGGATCAAAATAGGTCCCTCTTTTAATATTTCTTAAGCACACCTCAGCTCAAAACTGATTGAGTTTAGCCACACCCAACAGCAAAAGAAAAAACAAAATACTCTTCGTCAGTATTAGAACTTCAGACGTAAGCAGAATTTAAATAATGAATGGAATATAGTATTGGATTAATTGCAGTTAATTTAGCCATTCTTTTTGTGAGTAAAGTATAATTTTTCCTCAATAGTATGCTCCCAGTGGCACAGCGGTATGTCTGTGGAGTTACAACGCTAGAATCCGGGTTTCGATACCCGTGGTGGGCAGAGCACAGATAGCCCATTGTGTAGATTTGTACTTAATTACAAACAAACAAACAATCCTCAATAGTATAGGAATTGTGACTGAAAATATCGTGGTAAAATAGATGTATTGTTCTAACAAACAAAACCAGAGATTTAAACATGTTTCTTATTAACATTTTCAAAAAAAATTTCTGCATGGGAGAAATACATGAACACAGCATAGGTTCATTAAGATTTGTAACTGGAATAATCGTATAGTGTTCCGGTTTATATAGTGCTGCCATCTGTTGAATATATAAACAAAGTATTTTTATGGCTTTTGATAACAGTGATGTTATTTTTAGTGGCGAAGAATACTTTAACGTTTCTTTAATGAAAGTTTTATTTGCACTTCAGTGAAGTTAGTTTCTTGTATAATAATGATCGCTATACGTTTATTATGAAACATTTTTGTGACTTTACGGAATTACAAAAAATAAACAAATGCGACAAATGATTCCTAAACATGGCGTTGGAATTGATTAAATTTTCTTTATATAATGCTTGAATTGTTTGTAAAATGATTCTACTTTGAAAAAGATATGTGCTAGAATGGGGTTCGATGCCCACTGATAAACTTTACGTGCTATAAATTTCATGACATGTTTCACGATTTTTTTCTTGTCCCCTTGTTCTACTCGTCGAATTTAAGGAACACATTTTCTGAATTGATTGTCTGAGGTCGTGTGTTTCCTAATCCGGACATGATTGAATTTAAATTCATTTTCAGGGAATAGTTTTAGATTTCATTAAAGAGCGTCATTAGATGCTACCTTGTCAGCATGCTAGCCGTTATACCGTTTGGTTCTAGCAAGAAGCCTTTAAACCTTTTAATCACATCTATCAGCGTCACCCTGCTCAAGCATGTCGTTTTGTTATTAGTGCATACATACCACAAAGGAAACTAGCTAAGCTAAGCAGAATTTTAAAGTACAAAGTACTACAGTTTCCTCCTGGAGAAAACAATGCAAGGCTTGAGTAACGTCAGCAGCATGAACAGCGTTATGATATGGGTTGTTGCTATGGTAACCACTCTCCACTAGAGCTGCAGAAGACCAAGAGGAAAAATTTGAGTAGCTAACAATAACCAAAAAGCTACTTACATTCTTTATTTCTGTATAAACGTCACATAAACAATTATTTTTGCTCTTACATTAATGCTTTTACACAACGTAACTTTTACCACTAGCAGTTATGTTTATTCTAACTACTGAAGTTAAAAATTTGAATCTATATAACTAATACATTTGAACCGCCCAGAGAATATAAGATTTTATCGATAAGAAACGATTCGAATCGACAGTAGAAATAACCTTTTATAGAATTTCTTGACTTTTCTTGAATATCAAATATGCAGGTCAGAACAGTTCAATAACAATGTAAACTATTGTTAAATTGTTTACGTTGAAAATCAACTATAGTTCGATTTTGGATTTCTTTTTGCATAAAACAAAGTAGAATATCCCGATTCATATTTAATGCACAGTCCCAGACATTGTTTGCCAAACAATGTGTGAACCGAGACGCTCATTGTAACAACACATGCCCTACTACACCCTCCAAAACAACATTTGTTGTGTGATGTTTTTTTAAACGATGTGTGGCCCACCTCTCACATAATCCAAAACAACATTTGCGGTGTGATTTTTTTCCCAAACATGCGTGGCTCATCTCCCACATTCTCCAAAACAACATTTGTTGTGTGATTTTTCTCAAACGATGCGTGGCTCATCTC